TAGAATGATTGACTAGCCTTCATTCATGCAATCATATAGTCTGCAAATAACTATTATTTTATGAATCTTAATTTTTTTCTAATCACTTCGGGTGGCGCAATTTTTACTCCAAAAGCTCGTGCGTAGGCTTCCATTAAATGCTGATTATCTCGAAAACGAGCTCGGGACACCCTATTTTTCTTTCCAGATTTGGAATCAGCATTAAATTTCAATTCGGAAAATCGAAGTTTTAAAAAAAGCTTAAATCAATTTCCAAAAGTAGGCAGTCACCTTAAATCAAGAGTTTATGAATAATTATTAGTAACGGATACACTCTGCTAGGAAAAAAGTTACACCTAAATTCATGTGATATAGGTGTATTTTTATTTCAAAGACTATGCGAAGAGGTAAAATTAAGACCACCTTGCTTGAATGGAAACAAAGTAAGTTATTTGACTGACCACACTAGTCTAGGGGTTTAACACTGTCTTAACTAGTGGTTTTTAAGGTCAAACCAACATGGAAATTTTCTGTCAAATTCAACTGAATGCAAATGTCAAGCTTAGCACATCTTAATGTAATAATACCTTGTGGTTATGGTGGTTCTGAAGGCAAAGAATGCTGARCAAACACTAGGAATCACTAGCTTTCACAGGAATATTACATGTGATTTAGAAAACTGTCCATTTGACTTGTCATAATACACATATACATAATAATGTAATACTTGGATTCAAGAAGTCTCAAATCTAGGCTCGTACACCCTCTGCCTGAATTATGTAGAAGCTATTTAACCTTGAATATATACACGTTGGAGTTATATGCATAAATATATATTTTTTAAATATTGATAAAGAATGGAGAGATATAATGCATAAAGTAAAATACTTACAAAAATATTGACAAAATGTAAGATTTTTTGTTTGTTAGTTATCATTGAAGGATCAATTGTTAGTAGAGTTTTTAGTGCAAACCATTTGTGTTGGGATAATTGTTGCAGTTTTGAGTCAAAAAGCAAACAAAAGGAGATACAATAATTGTACAAAATGTGTACAAAAATATATATTAACATATAGAACTGGTAAAAAAAATTATCAAAACCAAGAAAATACAGCATATAAGTAAATAATTCAAATAAGAATAAAAAATGATGGATGCATTTTTGTTCAGCTGTCTTGTGATAATGAGTTTGTGACGGGTTAATACAAATATTGAATAAGATCTGACATATTATTATCATTTTTGTAAAGGTCATTTGCATATTTTAGTCCAAAACTTCAATGATTCTACAATAAAACTACTTACAGAATTCAAAGTAATAAATAATGTATAAAATTTTAGAAATATAGTTCTATACTCACCTCAGCAGAATGGCTCAGTCTTGTCATGTGATTAACATAAAATTTAGAATTACACATTTTAACAATGCCGTCATGTCCATTCTCATTTTCTCTCGAGTTGGTTGACATGTGGGAATCTGGAGATGCTTCAGCTGAAGAAGATGTATTATCCTGGACATCTGATTTATGGCTCCTGTTATCATCAGCAAAAACATCTCCATCCCAATCTCTTTCACTGATATTGTGCATCTTTAAATTTTGGTTTTCATTTATAATGTATTTTTCCTTTCCTTTTTTCTGTGTAACTGGAATGTTTTTTTGGATCGGGGCCACCCTGTGCCTAAATGGTTCTTGTTTATCACCTGATTTCTCACTCGAAGCCTCTCCACCATCTGTTACTCTAACCCGTATTCTGTGATTTGGAGTTTCCATGACACATTCATTAATGACTGACTCATTTCTTGCTAGTTGCACATTATTGTCCAATTGACCTGAGTGGGTGTTTAGAATAGTATCTTGGTACCCCCTCTCTTGCTGCAATGCCTCAGAGTCTGATCTTTCAGATTGACTAGAAGAATGAGATTGCAATAAAGTACCCATTCCATCTGTAGATTGAGAATCATTTTTTTCTTTGAAAAGCCCATTGATTGACTGCAATATGGATGATGACGATGATAAAAACTTCTCACACTCACCATCCTCATTGGAGGGTGTGCAATTTATATGAAATTTTTGAGCAATTAGAACATGGTCTGCGTGAGGAGCTATCTCTGGATCTACAGAGAATACATGACAGGAACAATTGACAGTATTTGCCATGTCCATTTTGTCATTAGTGCTGTGCCAGCTGTTTGGACGATTTCCTTCACTCGATTTTCTTGTAACAATACCAAATACCCTTTCATCGTCAGAACAAACCCCAGTGAAAGCAAGAGACTTAACAGGATACGTTACAATGTTTTTTCCATTGCCATCAATAAGCTGAATCCCCAGCACCGACACTTCCAACATGAACATCACATGTACCTTTTTCTGTGCGCGTAATCTCCGCACACAGCTCCGAATAGCATTTAAACTAGCCGTCTGTAAACAAGAACTTGCCGGTAATTCAATGGAGCCTAAATAACCAACCACTGCCCTAAGATCCGGCTCAATGTTAGGCATTTCGGACTGCTCACTTTGGTTTGGTGTTGCTGGGGTGAGCGCAGGATACGAAAGGCGATTCAATGTTTGTGTTCCTGCGCGGCCCGGCAATCCATCTCCTTCACTTGACCGTCTATTATCAACATTACTTTGTTCCAAAAACACGCTATCTGATGAGCTCTCTGACCGTAGGGTTTCTGAGAATGATGCCTTAAGCTCTTCATCGCTAACTATTTCGTCTTCATTGATAATCTGATCACTAACGTTAGCAAATCCACCGCGCCGCAAAGAAGACGGTGTGTTGATTGAAAGACTCCCTGATTTGAGTTCCTCAACAACTTTATCCACTCGGTTGAGAATATTATCGTTTTCTATTTCTTCTTCTGATGTTTCATGGCCTTCTGGTGAAGGCATAGGTAGTTTGCTAACAGAATCAGTGCAGTTTCTTACCCCAAGGTTCACTACACCATTCGGTGAGCGAGCTATCAACTTGACGACTTGTTCGTGCGGGGATTTCTCCACCGAACTGCCATTAACAAATAAAATCTGATCACCTGGTCTTAAACCTGCCTTGTGAGCTGGACTGCTAGCCAGAATACAGCTAAGTACACATGGTCCTTGGCTGGAAAGCGTAAAGCCGAATCCTCCAGGACCACGACTCAAATCAACAGATCTGACTCCAACGGACTGCATGGCTTCTTCTGGTGAAGCTCGCCCTCATAATTTTGAGCAAAAACTTCGACCTCAAACACCGTAAAGTCACTAAGTGGAGCCTTCCTCTTGATGTGCTGATGATAAAACCAGTCTATGAGGTCTGAATAAAACCATTATTTTAAAGATTTCAGTAAAGCAGACGAAGGAAAACAAACCAGATTTCAAAAAAAGTGCGTGTTCACTTTGCTGTTCTCTGCTAGCAGGGAAACTTTGCTGCTGTCACCGTGGTGCTGTACTCGTAGATAAAATTGCCTTCAACTTGGATTATGAAAAATTCTGTGGTGTATTTAGGCAGGAAAAGCCACTTGCCTAGCTATCAGTATATACTTGATTCCTGTACATTAGTCAAAAGCCATTTGTTGGTCGTGATATTTTGAATGCCCAGTCGGTTTATTGTCAACTGACCCCTCGTATCATTCACTTCCATCCTAACGTCATGCACCACGTGGGCATATACCACATTATGATTGGTCCATAAACCAAAAAAATCATTAGCGCCAAAATGCTTTAACCAGGAATTATATGCCCAAGTCATGCATATATAAAGTACAATTATCTTTATTATACGAAACTCCTTCTTTGATAGTAAGAATTAATTATATTTTTTCCTAAAATAGAAAATATAAAAAGGAATCCTTAAAAGCAATTAGAACATTAAAAAAAATATTGAATTTGTGTTTCGAAACCTATGGTCGTGAAGGGAATAGATCTTTATCTTGACCGACTTTCGGGGATTTGTTTTACAATATTAATAAAAGAGTTGCGTTGACGAGAATAAATACTCTAAGCCGAAAAAACCTAAATGCAAACAAACCTTTTTGTCAGTGGTGTTTTTGTTTGATAAGAGTGCTTGCGAAAAGCTTGTTTGCCTATCATTAAACAGCAAGAAGTATAAAACCAATAGTGAAAGATACAAAAATAAAAGCAAATGGATAATAGAATAAGACTAAAATTAAGTGAAATGAATCATTATGATAATAGGCCGATTCAGAACAGTAAGTAAACGGAAATGAGGAAATGCAACGCAGAATACATTGCGCTTAAAACTGAAAGTAAAATAATGGATAGATGCACGTTTTAGTACAAAGTGTCAGCTCAAAATAGGAACAATTACTGCTTCAAGCGATAACCATTAGTTTAATTGTTTTCTGTGTCATTCGAATGTTTTTGTCATAATTAATTATGATAATTGGCACGTGATAGCGTGCGCGCGCGCTCCAGAAGGCTAGGTTTCATGTTGATCATTCGTTCCAAAAACTCAAGACTCCCAACTGTAAACGCGGAAAACCTTCGTTAAATCTTCAATTTATCCCTTATCACTATTATGAAATACAATAAGCATTGCCTCAAGGAATTCGTAGTCTTCGAGCCAAGGCCACTAGCCATCTTCGTCCATGTCTCAGGAGTATTTCGTCGTGGAGAACGATCTAAAACTAGACGGTCTTCCCGATGACGTCCTGTTCGTCATTTTGGCATTCTGTGATGTGAAAACTCTGCTTGCACTAGCGTGTGTCAATCAAAACCTGAACCGTGTATCGAGTCATGATACTGTGTGGCGAAGAATTAGCAAAAAATGCATAAATATCCGGAAATCGGATAAAAAGTAAGTGAAGATTCGATACGTAAACACTGCAGTATACATACACTGTCGTTTAATACATGAATTATTTATAGTCACATTCAACGACATATTATATAACAATTTAATATTATACGAAGCTGAAAGGAGTTTTAATTGTTTGTGTTCGTAGAAGTGAGTGCTGGAAGAATCTCTGTCGAGTGTCTCATAACTGGACGAGAGGAAACTGCAAGGACAGATGTATGATCAAGTTTAAATGCAAGTATGTACTATGTACATCGTAATGTACATTATAATAAATTGTAATATATAGTCTATATACCAACCCTTCATGTTTATTCTCTTCTCTACCTTTAGCTTCATGCCATATCTGTATCTAGTAGAGCCAAACAAGCTCTTTGTAGCCCAGGGACCTGATATTGTATTATACCAGAGTAAGAAAAAAACACGCATGTTACCTCTATGGCAGCAGCAAATGCAATTCCGTGGACATGAGTTTGATGTCACACACTTCTTCATTCAAGATGATCGGCTGATCAGCAGTAGCTTGGACAACACACTGCGCACATGGAGCTTGATGACTGGTATGTGTGAAGCAGTGTACACAGGTCATACCAGTAATGTTCATTCAGTAGATGGGTATGGTGATGTCCTGGTATCAGGAGGGAGAGACAAAGTCATCAAGGTGAGGAACAAAAGACACCAACAAACTACCATTGAACTAAAGCAATGCTGAAATCACAACTGACAAATAGTCCAGATGCCAACATAAGATAACGGTGGTAGTAGCTATGTCCATAATATTTAAGAAATTCTAAGACATAAATACTAGTGCTTACAAGCTGAAGTAAGTTTTTTTTGTACACAGATTTGGTCTCAGCAGTCCAAGCATTGTCTTCATACCATTCCCATACAGGATCACATCTGGTGTGTTGGAATGAATCCTGTTACAAGGTTTGTCTAACTTGCTTTGAACTTAATTGCAGGGTAGGATTAAAAAGACAGTAGAGAACCATGAACAAACTCTGGCACAGCACATAATGCTGTGTGTAAAGTTCCCAAAACATCACAAGTGACATTATCAATACCTTCACATTGAAGTAATCAAAGGTGATGTCTTAAAATGTTCAAAACTCAAGTGGGATCATGAGGATCAATAAGAAGACAGTCAATGGAAATCTACAAGCATTTTTTTTCAATAAGCAAATCAAAGAACAAAAACTTGTTTTCAATGGCATGCTGACTCCATGCTTGAGCAATGTTCCTCATTCTATACGTCTGTCTTCTTATTGTTCATAGCTGTCAGCCAATCAGATTGCAAGACTATGCTCTGTTATCGTAATAATTATGTTTTCATAAACTCCATAGGTCTGTACTTAGTGGTAGTGCAGGTCACTCTACTGATGTTCCTGCTCTTCGGTTATGGAGTCTAGAAAGGTATGGTGTGTTCTTCCATTTTTCATGTCTTTGTGACATGATTCCTTGACTCTTGTACCCTACCAGTCGAAGTTGTAAAGACCTTTAGCATTCTTCAATAAGTTAAAAACATTTATAGAGCTACTGGTTTGACTTTAGTTATCTCATTGTTTAAATTATTATCAAATGGTATCATATAAATGATTCTCTAAAATCACTATCTTCAGATAGAGTAAAGGAATCTAACTAATGAAATAAAAAAATACCAGTCAACTCGTTATAGTCAAATAGACACAAAATAAAACAATGGAATTAAGTTCTACTAATGTGTATTGGTGTAATATCTATTTCATAGGTTTAGTGACTTCACTCTATCATTTCCCTTATCTTCTAAAGGAACTTCTTTTTTCTAATTTTTTTCTTCTTTGTTCAAAAGTTGCTCTTTGATTCGTAACTTGGATGATGGCTGTCATCGTTTTGGTGCTGGTGTACTTTCTGTTCTGTGGGAGTCTGCATTTACTTTCCTGTCCTGTGGCTATGACACCGCAATTAAATACTGGGACATGCGGGTCAATTCAAGGTAAGACTTTGAAGAATTTGAATCAATAATTAGTATGACCAAGTGTGTTCCAAAAGCCCATTTCCAATATATGCATTGCTTGTCAAACACAAAGGTTTCAGTATAAGGCTATGCATTACTAAGCATTATTGCATTATGTATTTAGCCTCATTAACTACGCATCTTTTTGGAATCCCTGTCCTTTTTCCAAAGAACTGTCTCTCATTGTTATTATTTTCAAATTATACCTTAGATGTGGATGTGTATTAAAGTGGGAAGATCCCCATGACTCGACAGTTTACTGTGTTGATTCCGATCATAAATGGATGGTAGTGAGTGGTACTAACCGATATGGTGTGGTAGGTACACTATTGTTGCCTAAACAATAAAAACTAAAATCATATTTCAGTGTTAAGATATTGAAAATATTTTCAATTTAGTCACCTGTTTTCATTATATAATTATTGTCGTGAAGTTTCTCTTGACCATATACAACTTTGCATTTTTCAGACAAGAGTGTGGGACAAGCGTGCTAGAAGATGTGTGAGAGTAAGTATTCAAACACAAATACCTTGTATCCAAGCCACTTAGTAGACACTCCATACTTTAATAGGTTTACCAACATGCAAAAGCATCCTATATCACAAGAATTTTCAAGTATTTTCCTCTTGTGGGCTACCTGTGTTAAAATGGCCAAGAGGGACTGGAAGTGAAAAGTGAGAGATCCAACTCTCTTCAGTCTTACTCTGTCTTTGCTGCTGATTTATGCCCCCTTTCTGAGAGGGTTAATATTAGAATCACCATGACATGGCCTTGCAATACTAACATAAACTAACCTTCTTGGTCTGATTTATGTTTCAGTCATTCTATGCTGGTCGTAAATCCTTTAGTCCAGTCTATTCCATTCAGTGTGACAGAACATCTTTGTACGTAGCCTTGGCTAACAGCATTAGGAGCCTTGACTTCTCTATTTAATTCTATTCTAGAATATTCAGTTTTCATTTGTGCATCAAAGGATTTAAATCTATTACCTTATATCACATAAGTGCATTCAATTTGTTACAATATCTGAAAGCATCTTGATTGATATCTACCGGTATTTCCATAATGTGTACGGTCAAATAGTATTACTAAATAAATATTTCAAGAGTGTAAAATAATAATGAAGGCTTTGTAAAATTGCAAAAACGTTTCTTGTACATCTGCCCCATTTTTAGGTATAAAAAATTTGACAAGGGACCTTAAAGTTGTTCTTGATAATTCATGGGAAACTTGCCTTAAAAGGCTACATCCATGCATGTAGATAGCTAAAAGTGGTGAAGTAGTGTGTTTCATGATTGGTAAAAGCATTGTACATAGGAAGTGTTGTATAGTGTGGTTTAATTTGATAAGATATTTATCAATAAAATAATCAAGTATTAAGAAGAAATGTTTATTCTCAAAAAAGTCAATAAATAGGTATAAATAATCTTCAAAATGTCAAATATCGTTCATGAAATTTGTTTTCCAAAAATAAAAATGGCTATACAACGATTGAAATAAAAATATCCCAAAAGTTCTATATTTAAGAACTTGATACTTTTTCCTGGCAAATATTACGAACGAAATATCAAATGCCAAAGATTTATCATATATAAAACACAAAATGTCTGCTATTTCAATGGTTAAAAATTGTTCTATAAATCTTTCAGTACTGGCCTTGACTTTCTTCCCAAGTAGTTGGTACTGAAGCATCTAGTTCATGACAAGAATCAATAAGCTGGTCCGCGTTTGATCAGAATATCCTCAAATGGCCCTCTTTGAACAGGATCTAAAATGCCAGACTTCGTCAAAGCTGGAGATAAATAGGAGAAAGATATGGTCAAATAAGCACTTTTTCCAGGAATAAAAATACCGTATAAGCCCCCCCCCCCCCCCCCNCCCCCCCCCCCATCGATTATAAGCCCCACCCCGGTCATAAGTACCCTCCATTGATGGAGTACCGATCCACTCAGATCAAAGTTTTACTAAGAAGTAGAGCGAAGGCATTTAACCCGTGAAATAAAAAATGCTAGTCAACATGTACTAGTCAAAAAGACACAAAAGAAGACAATGGAATTAAGGTCTACCAATGAGTATTAGTCTAATATCTATTTCACGGGTTTAATGACTTCACTCTACCATACTAAGAAGTGCCATACGACTAAAGCCTCACAAAGTCTGAATTTCAAGATATATATCGCCCATGGCCTGTTATAAAATGCTTTCCATGCCGTTGTCTGACAAACTGTTCTTACCCATTAAATGATAGAAGATACATGCTGCTTGTTTCCTTGGTGTGTTCAAATGCAAGATATCGTGAAACCAAACTTTATACATATCACCCATTGCGCGTTTGATTTTACTGGGGAAAAAATTGACAAATTTCAGAGTAAAATTGATGTAAGATAAAATGTATACGAATATCAGGATTGATATTATCATTGATGATCAATGTTTCCTATCTATCTTAAAAACCGCCCATACCAGCTTATTGTATAAGACTAATTAATCGTATACAACAGCAATAGTCTACATGTATCTTTACAAGAAGTATTACGCTGAGCTACACTTGTGATCCCTTATCCTCACTTATTTGTATATTGCAAAGAATATGAACAACACTAATTTCAATGAGAAAACGCTGGTGTGGTAAAGACGCACCCTAATGTTTCCAAGGTTTTCTCATCGCGTTGTTCGGTTGGGATTTCTTCGTCTGTACTGAATGGCTCATCTGCAAAAAAGGATTATATCATCATGACAAAACTCAATAAATGGCTTTATAACGCCACCTCTTCTCTCCCTGTGCTCATTAATCCATATCCGACAGAGGTGTTGACATACTAACCTATTTCTTCAAGTGGTATCATTTCAACCTCAAGTTCTTCATCGATAATCGGTGATAGAATAGATGCACGTCCCACAGTCGGAGGCCTAGAGGTACAAGCGACTGTACATCAATCCATCATTACCATGACTACGCAGTTTAAATCCCTTCGCCTTCCCATACAGACTACAGCTATAGCGCAGCCTCAACTCGTCTTCCCATACAGACTACGGCTATCGCGCAGCCTCAACTCGTCTTCCCATACAGACTACAGCTATAGCGCAGCCCCACCTCGTATTCCCATCCAGACTACAGCTATCGCGCAGCCTCAACTCGTCTTTCCATACAGACTACAGCTATCAGGCAACCAGACCTCGACTCAGTACTACGATATATAAGGTTTATAAACGATATAGAATACATTAGAGAAAAAAAACAATAACCTGCTGACTCGTCTTGCTGGTGTTGTGATGTCAACCCTCTTCTCTCCACTGAGAGACAAATCACGTGATCGACGGTTCTTTTCTAAAACAAAAGAGTAATGTGTATTAATCTCTTGTATGCATATGGATAGGACTGATAAAAAAGTCATCGACTTTCATTGGAAATATAGGATCCGTTCCCTCTTACTGCTTTACTTACCTAGACTGGGTAAATCTGGAGTGACGTCCATACCGGTCGACTGCTCGAATTCTGAAGAAATCTCACGGCTTTGTGCTCGAAGAATCTCGATCCCCGAGACCGGGCTCTCCTCTAATCCACTTAATTCCTAGTGATTAAAATAATATCAAAGTAAATACTTCAACTTGAACTCCACTTAGAAGCTGGCTTGATAATTTGCAGTTTTTAATATATCTTTACTTGTTTGGAGTCGGGGAAATCAGAAAATTCTCCGCATCGCTAGCAGCACGCAGAAACTGTGCTTGCCAAAACTACACATACTCGATGGACGAGTAGAACACAAAGCTTGAAAAAGTTAGTGAATGCTGGGATGGTCGACATTCACATCCAATTCGGGCAATAAATTTTATGTGCGTGTTACATTTTTGAGAGTCAAAGTCATTGTTTACTAGCCCGTTCTAACCTCTTGAATAGAAGTGACTGGGCTGACTGGCAAGCCTGTAGGGACATCCATTATCCAACTAATCTCGTCATCTCTCAGCGGTTTAACGAAAGCATTTGCCTTCCAATGTTTTATGAAATGAGCCTCCGATAAAACTGAAAGAAAAAAATAGAGTAAAGTAAAAAAGAAGCGACACTCTTTTTGTACATTACTCACAAATGCGCGGTGGCCGGAGATGAATAAGAGAATTCCCGGTTTTCAATCATTCCCAAGAAAATGCAATAACAAAAGACATGACGGTTATGTTGGTTGATATGACAAAAGAGACCAGCATTAATTAACGGTGCACAAGGTTCAATGCAGAACGCGAATAGTGAGTAATAGTGAGTAATAATAAAGATTACCCTACCTGATGTAGTGGGGCTAGAGAAGAGTTCTAATGCGGATTGCACTCGAGGAATCGCGTATACCTTATAAATAAATGACAAAAAATGTAATTATAATCTCGATATGATTAACGATAAGATCTGAAGCCCGAATCTTTTCATGGCTTGCGGGTCAATATTGACTCGTAGACCAAGAGAACGAGAAGGATGAAGTAGAGAGAGAAGAGGATAAGAGGGAACAGGAGAGAGAAAGAGAGAGAGAGGGAAGGGGGAAAGGGCGGGAAGGGGGAAAGATGGCCGCGCGTGTTAACCACCTTTTTCTTCTTCAGTGAATCGACATTATTGAAGTTTTTCTTCATGATTGTTCCTGTTAACTTGATGTTAAAGTCAATAGCCAGTCTTCGTTTTCGTTTTCGTTTTCTCGGAGGTGATACAGGATCTAGCTGCCCGATAGGCACTTGAGGCGTATCAAATGGACCAGGGACCTGAAATACAAACAGAAAGATACTTTGTCATCTCAGTTCAAAACTGTCCTAATCGTCTTATTATTTTCCATTCACGCTTTTTTGTTGGTCTCTTTGAATAAAAGTTTTGAACATTTGTGTTTTTTTAATGCTTTTATTCTGATATTTGCGCAACACATTATAACATATATCATCTTTCTCAATGTTTTGTGTCCTCAGTCACATTCCTACCAGACTTGTCATCCAGTCAGATGCTAGTTAAGGTGGAGAGCTCGAAGGAGGAGGGAGGGGTTGGGTTGGGTTGGGTATGTATCTTGCAATAAGGATGCCGATACAGTGAAACCCCTCTATACCGGACCCTCAGTATACCGGAATTCTCTCTAAACCGGACAAAGGTTTTTGTCCGGAAATTTTTCCCATATATCTTTTGTAAAATAAACCTCAGTAAACCGGAACCTCTCTATTCCGGAAACCGGACGAAAATTTTGGTACCAAACGCTATTTAACAATAGAATTCAACCCCACTAGTCCGGAAGAACGTACACTTGTTTAGCGTATTTGCGGGTGTGTAAATTGAGTCTACAGGGACAGCTTCTAAACTCACAAAATCATCGAACATTTTCTTTAAATAGTAAATCTTGTTCACAAATAGACATATAAAGGCTAATTAATTGTTTTCAATATATAAATGTTCAAACAGAATGCATAAGGAAGTTTTAATAGTGTTGAGAAATACTAAAGATCGAATGGTTCGCAAAGTTTCGGCCGCCATGTTTTTTCATGTCACATGGCTTTGGGGTCATTCCCAGTCCATTTTACCGGGGATTTTGTTCAGATCGTATNTTTAATAGTGTTGAGAAATACTAAAGATCGAATGGTTCGCGAAGTTGCGGCCGCCATGCTTTTTCATGTCACATGGCTTTGGGGTCATTCCCAGTCCATTTTACCGGGGATTTTGTTCAGATCGTATTTAGAATGTTTCTTCTTGGCGTTCTTTTGAAATAAAAGTTAAGAAATTTGCTTAGTTTTTGATCTTAATGTTGATATTTTTACTTGAACTTTCGTTTACGTGTTTGTTTATACTGACGCCAAACGATTAGACACAAACATATTTTCAATAGGTGTGATATCGCACCTATTCAAATCAAAACAAAAGTAATTTGCAAAAACCTCAGTATACCGGAACCCCCGCTAAACCGGAAATTTTTATCGGTTCCAGCACTGTCCGGTATAGAGGGGTTTTACTGTATCCCGATCTCGTTCTCACCTCAGTAACGTCCCTCGTTGGCGTTGCTTCTGCAAACAAAAACACACACAATGATATGATAACTGAGGTTTGCAAATATATTGTAAAGCAATATACACAAAAACAAACATGTGATCCCAGATTTTATCAGTTAGTGGCTATTACCTGGTCTCAAAGCACCAGTTTTCTCGTCAAACAGCATAACGTCTGCTTCTTCTGCAGGCGCCGCGCCTTCCCCGGGTAATTCTAGGGGAGAAAGGCTGTCGAGAAAAATTGGATGGTGAAAATATTATTTATTTATTGCATTGCGAACCATGCCCGCGTTGGGGAATTTTGTGTCAGTCCGTGGATTACAGACTCATTTACTCAGGGTTTGCCTCATTTCAGCGTCAAAATATTCACAAAGTAAAGAATGCAATGATTTCAACTTCAACAATACACGGCAAACACTTTAAAATTCCATGGACCTTCACTGCGGTGGAACACGTGCATATTCTACGCAAGGTTGAGGCTAACCCTGAGCAAAAGAGAAGTCGAAACTGAAGTACTAAAACAAAGAAGTACTAAAACAATGATAAACTTTGGCAAAGATATTGTGCTAGAAGAAAATATTTTTTTCGTACGGTTAAGTGTCTAAAATTGCAAGCCATTTTTGCGCCAACTGAATAAGTTTGAGAGTATCTTCTCGCCATTCATCTGGGATATTGATATTGTGGGGCATCACCTGTATATACAGTTCCTTATAAAAAGAGTTACAGTTACTCAGATACAGTGAGTACTGTCAAAAGGGTAATTTTTTACGACACTTCCCATCCATGTTGGCGTTATGTCTAACAGAAACCTTCAACATACCCAAGTTTTTGAGGTGTTTTCTCGGTGGCTTTTCGTAAGACTTCAATATCATCGTATGGTAACGGCTCCCCGATGTCCACCTCTCCTGGAACCTAAGACATCGTTTACAAAATGAAATTAACATTCATTCAAACTAATAGTATTCATTTATGTTCACAAGCGCCTGTAATAGATGACGTGACGGTAGGAACATAAAACCCAGAACATACCGCCTTTGCAGTTACTGTTGTGTTATACGTAAGTCACGCGTGACAATACGGTAAATTTTTATCCTTAGGTGCCTTGCGCGCATGGATTGGAAATCGTGCACTAGCCTAAGATCACAAATCGCTATTTACCTGGAAAATATTTTCATCAAGAGTCCTGGCAAAGTCAATCTCAGGAATGGTGATGTCTTTTATGTCTGCTTGGAAGGGACTCTTTTCTTCCTCTGTAGATATCTTCTGTTCTGGTGTTGATACGGGGGAGGGGAGGGGTAACTGAGGGGACTTGACGAACGGTAAGCGGAAATATTTATCTGACTGGAAAATCAAAATGATAATGGGTCATTAAATATATTCTGAGATTGGCAATAAATTTACGGAGAGGCAATAAAAACTTTGGAAAAAAGTTGAGCAATAATCAAACCCTCCAATGTAAGACCAGACTCCCCTATAGTATATCAAGGCTCTTATGAATACAAACCTTAGCAAAGGCGACTAGATGATCAGTGTGGATTTGTTCCTGACATTCAGGAAACTCCATATCGTAATCAAGTAAGAGTGGAAGGGTTATTGTGTCACGCCTACACACAAACAAACAAATAATAATTTGCATATGAATGAAATTGAACGACTGGAGATAAAAGAGATAAACAGGACAAAAGTGGAAGAGAAGAGACATTTTACTTTTGTTCAGGAGAAGCCATCTGTAACTCTTTGCTTAGCCTCTTCTCTGCTATGGCTGAGCTTACTGCTTTTACCATCTCGTTTGCTTCGACTGAAAACATAAGATAAAAAACAATATTTATCTGTATGATAAAGTAAACATTTTGAGCAGTAGCTTCTTTAACTTGTGTCTTATTGATTTATTTTCTTATCATGAAGAAGAACTATTAGAGGTAAGAAATACTAGAGTAATAATGTCTTAGGATTATAAAAGGGAGATGTTAAGTTTAAGTTATCTCTACAATGTTAAGCTGAAAATTCTTGGGCCCCCCGTATTTAGAAAAACATGACTTCAAGGGAATAACAACATGTTGCCAATATTCTCATCCCTTTTTTTTTCTATTGGCTACCTTCCTTAGCTACTTTGATAACAAAATCAAACGGACTAGTTTTCGTACTTACTTAAAATAATTCTTGTTTGTTCCCGGTACACTCGTACCACACCCACCAAGAGGGTCGATGACAGACGAAGTGCGAAAGGCAGGGTAGGATGCATAATGTACTCACTAACACAAACAAGATAACAACAACTTTACCTTTAGTTATTGAAAAGAAAACCAAATAAAAAATGTTATYAATGAGCATGAGCAGTGTTTTAATGAACAGGACATCTTTTTGGCGCGCATCCTAAAGCCCGTACAACGTTGCCATGGGTAACATCTTCAAACTGGTTAACTTGACGATGAATTTCTATATCGTCTTCGATCAGCTGATCGTTTATTTTCTCCGATTTAACTTTTCAGAATACGTTTAAATATGAACTTTTATACATAAAGAGAGTCTAACTTGTTTTTTCTTTAACTTTTACCAGGCTCTTATGATGTTGACTTTCTTGAAATCTTTTGAACTCAAATACTTGTTCTTTGGTCCCTTGTAAGTCGCTGCTAACCTTCGATCACAGAAAAAGAATTTAAAATAACACGCATGTTATATTAGAATTAATCAAAAGTGGTCTATAAAAGCATTAAAAGTGCTTTGAAAGCTTAAAAAAAAGCTTACCAAATGATTCCAAGTTTTCCTTTCCTGGTCAAGATGTTTTGCGAGTAGAACATGATTGTTCTTTGCCAGGCCTGACGTATCTATGATAGAATGATCCACACAGCATGTAATGTAGTCGGACTTGATGATTATATACAATGTTTTTTCTATCTAAATATTGCTTTTTATTAATCTATTTAACGAGAAAGATGACGAACCATCTTAGCGCATCAAAAGTAACGTTTTGCTTCTGTCACTAGTTGTAGAGACCTGCAAACTAACTTCTATTGGCAATAACCAAATAGATTGATAGCTTTAACTTATCAAAACGTTAAAGTAAGCGGAGTCAATGACATAGATACGACAGTTCTGTCCAATTTTTTCCAGTAAGACAGTAAGAATAATTTTAATGAACGTAATTCTACATGCAATCGGAGCATGACATGCAAAGCCACCAAATTCATCAAAAAGAAACTTTCTCAAACTAAGGTTAGAACTGGAAAAAAACAACACCAACACTAAAGTCGAATTAGTCTTACCTTTGTAAAAGTTTTTGAGTGATAAACGGCTGTTTTTGACCAGGATCGATGAGAAATAATTCTCGTTGTAGTTCTTTCTCTCACAAGAGATGCAGATGGAATTCTTCCAGTTCTAAGGTCCTGAATGGCTTCCGAATCTGTCAATCACCCTCCACCGCCAATGAGATCACATTGCTAGAATTTTGGCGGGAATCGTGTTCATTGGCGGGAAAAATTAAGCAGCTTTTGCACGCCTTTGTTTAAATATGCTTTTAACGGGATAAGACTGAAGCGTCATATTTTTCTATTCATGGGCCTAATTATGACTAATAATAATATTATTAACCAACGGTTTTACAGATATTTAGGTGTGACTTCTACCTTTTAAAGGGTAATAATAAATTGCTTATATAGCGCACAATGCAAACACATTTGATCTAATGCGCTTTACATATACATAGGGAGGGGTGAAAAAAAAAATGTGGTGTTTGGGGCCACGCCCGGCCACGTCCTCGGCTTCTCCCCTCCTCATCGTAAAGGGGAGGAACAACTATTCCCATAACGTTTTTTCTTCATGTAGAGTTCTTGGAATTAGAAATGGCCGGAAATACGTCAAAGCTTTTGAAAAGTCCATCAGTATAACTTGTAGATAATGGACTTCTATCTGGTACTCCAACATTGCTTGAACCCTACTATTAGTACCGTAAATATTATACGTCCAAATAAATGGAGTAAAGTCATTTTTGGTCCTTCGTTTAAATCATTATTCAATAGATCAAAGCGGTTTTTGTCAGTAGAACTATACCAAGATATAACTAGAGGTGTCTGACTGACTCATTCCTAGAACCTGCTCTAACTTGTCATTATGGTCAGTATGTTACTTAATTAGGGAAAAAACTGACCGTTTTTCTTCTCTCATGCTAACTTTGTATATAAATTTCTCACAAAATATTAGATGTTTTGCATTTAGCGATTATTAAAAGTCGAGAAACTAAAAACGTACGATTTCTTTTAGCGATAAAACTTTTCCATTAGGTTAAGTCATTGGTAATGACGTCTGCTAGGTCTTTGTCATAAAGACTATGATAATAGTATGTCATTTTCTATGTCGTCAAACAAAAACTCTCGGCGAATTATTTCTTAAGTTTGGTCAATCAATTAGATCTCTAGCTGTAATTTTGTCTTACAGTTTAAAAATAGAAATGATGATACTGATACAGACAATAGATCGAATCGCTAAGGAAAAACATAAATAACGGGCACATCTTCGGTCGGCTAATCAAATATTTAAGACTGGGAATTAATTACACCTGCCTGAAAAATTTGAGGAAATCTTCATCCAATCAAATACCTTGATTGAAAGAATAGCCAATCAGGTGCGAGTAATGAGTCACGCATGAAGGGCTTCCTTAGCTTCCTTATGTAAAGATAACAAACATGGCGGACTCCTGAATGTTAACAAAGTTTTTCTTTCTCCTCATCTTTTTTATGTAATTTATTTACTTGAGAGAGAAATTTTGTGGATGTAGGACAGACCAAAGCTTTGGGATGTTCGGGGGTGGCAAAAATCGCTTGTTACCACCGATAAAAAACCCACTTTTCAACCCAAATGATGGCGCAGAGGAAGTGCGAATAGCTACTGTGGTAAGATTCTGTATCGAAAAAATATATCATTCATACTGATTTCCTGCCTATGATCCACAAAATTTTATCAGTTTATAACTTTGCCTTTTTTCTGCCGTATCTATAGAAAAATTCGCCTGAAAAAAGAAAAGGAGGAAGATTTAGCAAAATTTTCAGTTCAAAAAATCGCAATTCCTCAGCGAACAGCTATGGCGTAAAAGAAGTAGAAGATAAGGCCGGCTGTAGTGGGTCTAGCCGTCCATCTACAAGTGATGCTAGTTTAACCAATCAGGCAGAAAACAACAAGGAGCTACCAAAACTTAAAGTAGATAATAATCAAGAAAACAAGTCTGGTGGGGGAAAAGGTCGATCATTACTAAGTTCTCGGACAAAATTCTCCAGAAATTTAAACTCTAACGATGCCAATAATGGAGAGAGTTCTTTTGTTGAAGCCCCGATCTCTAACACTGAAAAAACATCAATTAACAACAGTGATTCTAAGACATCTGGGCTTTTAAAAAGGGGCAAAGAAAAGCCACCCTCTCTTGGTAATACCAGCGAAGGGGAAAGCAGTCGTTTACAAGTGGAAAAGGGCTTTCAGAATCGACCTTTCTCTAACCCTTCAACGGCAGCAGAAAATATGGAACTTGCTGCTTTAAATATACCTTCAAAACAAGAAGAAAAGAAAACTAAAACTATAAAATATCAGGATGCCCTTTCTTTAAGGTAAGGATGTTTCAAAAACAATACTAGTATTGAAGACGTGAATTGTTTATGTTTTCGATTCCTTCGCATATTTCCCATACCTTGAATGGTTATATCAAGTGATTTTTGTGAAGCAAAAAAATTATAATTTTCATGTAATAATGATATAAGCACGAAACTATAGCTCTCAATTCTAGAAACTAAAATAGTTTCTAGGAATGTTTCGAATTTTGAATTATAAAATTTCATAGCGTTGCCATGGTGATTGCCATTAATGTTTTATGTGTTTGTTCCAAGAGAGATAGCAGGAAAGATGGAACTCACGTTCTTAGATTAAAACCATTCATTGACAACCTAACAAAAATATCTATACTTCAAGAGATGTTGCTGTAAATCAAATGTATGACAATTTTAGCGAATACAAAAATTTTATTATATTTTTTCTCAAAATTTGTCATGAGTTTTTTTCTTACTTCTTGAAATTAAAATTCATTTGACTTGTTCCAGGTATTGCAATAAATTCAAAGATATTGCTATGTTTGCACAATGTCTGGCTGTCAACTATTAATGAAAGGGAATATAAAAGAAGTGGCATGAAATAGGAAATGAAATGAAATACTTGTCAATCTTTTTCTTTTTGTTATTGCTGTAGACATTTTTCCTAGCCTAATGAGGTATCAAGTTCATATTATCACTTCTATTAAAATAGAAATCAGAATATTTTAAATATGCAATCATGGATATTGCACTTTATATAATCAGATTTCCAATGATAATTATTAATATAGGTAGGACAGTATTGTATTGACCTTTAAAATATAATGATCTGTTAGACAATAAAAGGTTTTGTTTAATGTGCCTTGTTACTACGGTGATCTATGATGCAGGTGATGTTACACCTGGCCTGTCGTCACTACCTGTAAATGAACTTATGTTTTAATATATCTTTTAAAATATATTTTAGCATAATAAATTAAGAGGATTAAATAAGAGGAAAGAGTGATTACTTGCTATTTTTCTTTTAACTTGAATAAAGATTAGTTCACTCTTCATAAACCTTTTTAGACAAATAAATTATTCAAATTTTTGAAAAAAACTACAGTAAAATGTTGGTTACTATAGATGTACTAAATTAATGCTTATCAATGTCAGATTGTGCACATTATTATTTCATTGCTACCTAAAATACTTGTGATTTTACATCTCCCTTATTGTTGTTATATTGTCTACAATTTCAGAAACGATTGGCGTCTTGCTAAAGCATCTGGAGACTACAAGTCTATACAAACTTTCCTGACTTCAACATTTGATTCATTTGCTGATATTAATGCTGTTTTTAAGGTATCTAAACAACCAGATTCACCTGACATTGCATATTCATAAAGAACTTCCTGTTTATTTATAGTGTTATTCACTGTTGATCGATTCTAGAAAAAAGAGGATTGCTTGGGTCATGAGGATCAGAATGGAAGTTGTCTGGATTATGACTTTGTCAGGATAACATATGACATTGTCCTTACTCTGGTTAGTATAAAATATTATACTCAGATGGTTAATTATTTCTTTTTGTATAATATTTATTATCAGTCTTTATAGACAAGCAGTCCAATAAGCCTGAAGCGAGATGACGTTTTACCCCCGACTCTATACCATAACAGTTTTTAAAATTCTTTCATATTAAAATTTTTGATTCCTTAGAGAATACWGGAACAATAGTCATAATTAAAGAACAAAAGCAATGTGAAAAGGATTATGGTCTAGAGACGGGGGTAAAACGTCATCTCGCTTCAGGCTTATTCAGCTGAGGCTGTTTTAAATGAAGGCTTGTATATCATTGTGTTTATTTTTATAATTCTTTAGCCTCTTGTATGATGTCTGCAGCATTGTCACAAGATGCCTCACTTGAAGCAGTGCATGTAATCCTATATAGGACAATGTGCATACAAACCTAACTATACTTGACACATTCTTACTAACAAATTATATGATACATAATGTTATTATTAATATTATTTCCAAAAGCCTCAAGAAGTCCAAAAAACAGTTCTCAAATCCATCATAAATGGTCTTCTACAAGACATGAAAAGGTAATATGAATAATCTATGAAAAGTTAAGCTGAATTAATTACCACTTGAATAAGTTAATAGAATTCACCTATGGGTTTTATCTCGTTGGGAGTAATTTTTTCCATTAAATCTCAGGCAAAGAACTGCTGATGACCTGCGAGCTTATACAGTACTCTTACAGGTAAACATTACTAGACTGCGAACTAAGTCCCTATATTTCCTTTGGTCACTGTATGTCTTTCTGTCCATGTCGATTGATCGAGGAAGATTGGTTATGAGTCAAAATTCCCTGGGGGAGGGGGCTGGGGAGGGAAGGAAAAAAAAAATAGAAATTTTTTTTCCTAGTAGTCTCCCTGGAAATTATGGACATATATTATCTGGAAGTTCACATAATCTAAACTTACTCTTACATGATTTTTGTTTGTTTAGAATGCTCAGTTTAATAAATCAACAACTTATGTCATCTTTGCTCACTTACTGCGGCAAGTGTCAGCTCTGTCTGACAGTGAACATCAAAGTCTAGTCATGTGGTTTAGAAAGTAAGAAACTCTGATTATAATGGTTTTATTATTATCATCACCAGCATACTTTCTTCTCATGCTCGATCATCAAAATAATCATCATTTTCACACTCAAAGTTATATAAAATTCTTTAGGTTCGGTTATCAAACTAACACTGTGTAATAGTAACAATTCATTTATCCTGCAGAATCCCTGTAAACACTTACAAAAGCATTGTTACAAGGATTGAACAGGTGAATTTTGTATTTTATAACTGAGGATTGAGTCTAGTTGTTTTTGGACCTTATGTTAATGACCTTTATAAGACTGTGCCATTATATATAGGTGGACATATTAAAACTGCTTGACTTACAGTTAAAAATCATAAGATATATCTCCTTAGATTAAACGATAACTTGGCCATGTAATAACTGGCATGTAAAACCAGGATTGACTTTCATAACTTATACTAACCAAAAAAAATTTCTAATGTAATTGGACAAAAATATGTAACATAATATTGACCCTAAATTATTCTAAAACTATGATATTTGATTTAATATATTGATTTCATTATAATAAATTAATATTAATAAATATGTAAAGTAAAACTATACATAAATGCTCAAACCTTTTGAATATTTTCTAAGTTTATGAGCCTGCGATTGTTTCCAACTAAATCCACTGATCTACCACCTGAAGAGAAGTGCACATGGTGGGTGCCATCTGCCGTCAAAGTCCTTGCTCTACTAAGTATGTTACTCCATTACCTTCCTGATAATTAGATAGTAAACGTTCAAAGAGCAAGAATTGCTAAAAATTACTGTTGTCATAAAACCTATAAAAAGATTATAAAGAGTCTGTATTTAAATTTGACATTTTGTCAAGGGTGGATCCAGGGGGGGCAAAGGGGAGCTGAAGGCCCCCCCCCCTGCAGAAAAATAAAACAAAACAAAACTGAAGAGTTAAATGCTTTTTTTGATTATTTTTAGTTGTGTTGGCGGAAGAAACTCAATTAGCCTTCTCAATTAGCCCTCCCTAAAATTTTGGCTGGATCTGCCCTTGTTTGTGTACATTCGTCTTAGTTGAATTATGAGGGGGGTGTGAGGGGGGAGGAGTGCTAAAAACTATAAATCCTCTCCAAAAAATATTAACCGCCAATCTACAAAAGATATTTATTTAAAAAATCAACATTATCTTAATAATATTAATGGAACTAAAGAACTGCAAAAAAAGATTTTTTCCAAAAAAAATGCATCTAAAACTTATTGTGTGTATCTGTAAATCCACGTCGATCCCCCTCTATGGGCCTTTATCACACAGCAGCGGCCATGTTTATTCTCATGAATATAAAAACCTTTGTTTCACCTGTATAAAACTCTATTCACAAGCACTTGAGAGTGACAGATATGTCTAGGTCTGCTAGCCTTTTAGGTACTATCAGACCTTGTAGAGATGAATATCTTTACGTTTGTTTGTGTTCATCCTGATAGATGCTGCCAATTGGCTTCAGTTRCCACCTCTCATCAGCCATACCTACTTTTATAATCATTCCTTGGACCACATTGACTTGATGGGAGAGTATTACTCCTGGCAAAACCCAGGGGCAAACTTAGGGTGAGTACTCATTTGAATCTTTTTTTACCACAAATAGTACTTGTTCATTGATGCCTTTTTACTCTATGTATTTCTTTTCTGTGTATGAGTATCYGTTATCTACCTGGTTTGGATGGGTCCTACAAACCCCCTGAATAACCTGCATTCTAACTTCCCAAATCAAACCTTAAATTCATGTAATTAGAAAACAGTTAGTACAAAAGTAAGGGTTTTTCGGATGTCTTTTGAACTCCTCCTGGATCCACGACTAAAGTCATGATTACATTTCTGTTTACTTTAATCTACAGGAAGTTCTCTTTCTGTCAGTACCCATTCATTCTCAGCCTAGCAGCAAAGCGCTACATTATGCAGAAAGATTCTGAATCACAAATGATAGTCATGGCAAGGGTAAGTCTGTCATGAAAGTGAGGCTAGTAGTGACAATCAGACTATCAGTAAATTAATGAAATGATGGAATAAATGAATAAAGTGTGTAAATAAATATATGATTGGATGGATTTAATTGAATAAGTGGTTGAATGAATAGACAAATAAATAAAAAAAGGAATGATCATTGATAATTATTGAATTATTAGAAAAGTTTGATGGAAAAAGTTCAGCGCAGAGAAATGCCAGACATGGGGATGTTGTTCCTTAACATTAAAGTCAGAAGATCCAACCTGATTTCAGATTCCCTCAATGAGGTAACCAACCATACTATAATAATACCATGACTCTGAGATTATTGTGATATTATCGTGTATCTTTTGACATACTAGATTGAGCATTCTTGCCGCCATTAGTGTCCTCAAAACACACCATGAATAAAGAGAGATTTCATCATTGTTATTCACTTAGCTGAAAAAGAAATGGGAAATGAATGGGTGAATGAAAGAAAGATCAAGTACATCAATCATATTCTATCCATATACACACCTCATTAGTTCTTTTGACTCATCCCATTTTGCTTTCATTCAGATTGCTCGTAAACAGAAGGATCTTAAGAAGAAACTTAAGGTGACGTTTGCAGGTGAACCAGGTCTTGACATGGGTGGTCTAACCAAGGAATGGTTCTTGTTACTCATAAGAAAGATCTTCAAGCCAGAATATGGTGAGTAAATCTGCAATCTAATCACAAGTGAATATTATCTAGTTAGTAGATTGCATGTGATAATATATAAATGATTTTTTTTCCAGGAATGTTCACGTATCATGAGAAGTCACGTCTGTACTGGTTCAATAATGAGTGTAAAGACCAAGATGAGGAGTTCAACCTTGTAGGAGTTGTATCCTCTACATGGATGATTGATAGCCCTTCTATTTGTCTATTTTCCCACTTTTCCTGTTGTCAGATTGTACCTTTATTCTATGCATGTCTATAAATTTAAAGGACATAACGATAGGTTTCCAATTCTCATGAGATTGAAATTCTTTTGTTTTGTCCTCCAAATTGAGTTGCATTGACGTCACATGCAAGGGGTCTATATCATGTGTCTTGTATGTTTCCTTAACCCACCCACCCCTCTCCAGCTAATGGGACTAGCTGTGTACAACAGTATCATTTTAGACATTCGTTTCCCATCTTGTGTGTATAAGAAGCTTCTCAGCCCAGCCGTCGTACCTTACCAAAACCCTAAAGCTACTGTAGGGGTTGCTAAGCTTGAATTGGATGATCTTGCTGAGGTGATGCCGGTAAGTGAGACTATACGTCATTAGACTATTAGCAACCGAGGGGTACTCGGTCTAGACGGTCGTGTTCACGCGCGAAATTTAAAAGTTCAAGTTCTTTTACACATTGTTCCCTCAGTGTCATAAACAAACCTGAAAGGTACTTTAACCCTCTAAGTTATAAACTGGGAATCGATTTTACACGCAGGGGGGATAAAAAATTAAGGAACTGTTTATCTTACCCTGTAATTTTAGTAGCGACGAACATCGTCATGTTCTTAGTTTTCTTCGCTCTCGCCAGTAGACATCCTCCAAAACACATTTTAAAAGTAGAAAAAGCCTAGATATTTACTCTCATATCAAGTTTATACACTGGAGAACACATAACATCCGACAGCTTTTATACACAGGCTTTTTAAATTGCAAAAATAAGAGAAGAATCTCTCGTTTTTAAGCCCGCCAAACCTCGGCGCACGCGTGAACCTTACGAAACAGGTAAGGGTCCGACGGCAACACCGTATGCTAATTAGGCTAAATTTACTTCCGGTAGACGTCATCTGGGATGTCAAAAGTTCTTGGTTCTTACTTTACTGGACAGCAGTCAAATATCACCCGGAATATCAGCATCTCTAATGAATGCGCATTTGCTATTACGAGTGGTACGGTAACCAATAGATAAAATCGAAAAAGCGCACACCGTATCTGCGTGTTGCCAATGCGTCACGTCAATGTCACGTCAATGTAAATGACAGATTGCGTTACTCCCAGTGTTGTTTCATTGACAGGACTTGTCACGTGGACTGAAGGAACTTCTAAGTTACGAAGGCGATGTGGAGAATGATTTATGTCAAACCTTCCAGGTAATGCATTATTCTCATTGTTTTTAGTCTCCGCGTATGATTGTATGTGACAAGTCTTTTACTTCTCCTAGATCTCCTACACGTCTTATGGACAAGTCATCACCCAAAACCTTAAACCAAATGGTGATCAAATACCAGTAACAAGTGAAAATAGACACGGTATGCCGCACCTTGTACTGGCCTATGATTCACTTGACCACTTGTCACTTGACCATCATTTGCTTTGCTATATTTACAGAGTATGTCAGTCTATACGTGGATTATCTTCTAAACAAGTCYATGTATCAACAGTTCGCCGCATTCTATCACGGATTCCATAGTGTATGCGCATCTAATGCCCTCATTGTAAGTAGGAGTCTCGTTCACACTTGTATCAATGATAATCGAGTGACTTGCAAAATCTGTCGTTCAGCGTACGGCAATGCGCATTTGTTAAAATACTACAACCGGCTTGTTTCCAGTACTTGTATTTTTTACCACAACCATTAGATGACATGTAATTTGATGTTGTTCTTAGATGCTTCGCCCAGAGGAGGTGGAGATGCTTGTATGTGGTAACCCAGAGCTGGACATGGAGGCACTCAAGAAGGTCACAGTATATGATGGTTACAACAAGACTGACCCCACTATAAGGTGATTCTATAACGCATTTATTACAAATAGTCCCCTTGACAGTTCCCTGCGCCATCTTGAAAGGTAGCCGTGCCTTTGAATCAAAGCGAGACAAACGGTTAGCTTGCAATAATAGAGACATGTGAAAACATTTCCAATATGTTAAAAAGGTCTCTATCATTGCAAGCTCTTCGTTCCTCTCGCTTCGATGCAAAGTCACGGCTACCATTCAAGATGGCGCAGGGAACTGTGAAAGGTACTGTTGAGTAGCTTCTCGCGCCGTCCCAAGCCCGTTCTTCTAGAATTGGTGATCAAGAGATGCGCAATACTGCATGCAGGCCATCTACGTCATACAAATAACTTTACTCTATTATAGGTACTTCTGGGAAATTGTTTTGGGATTCCCAACCGACTTGAAAAAGAAAACCCTTCTGTTCGTGACGGGAAGTGATCGCATTCCCATCGGAGGATTGGCTGAAATGGAGTTTAAGATATGCAAGATGGACACCGCAGACAGCACCAAGATGTAAGTACCATCCACGTACCTGAAGGAACTACTTTACTCTGCTTGTCTTGAGTTCATAGTGGGATTACCAGTGTGTCTGATGAATCCAATGTATTCCACAGGCTTCCCATGGCACACACGTGCTTCAACCAGCTGTGTCTTCCACCATACAAGACTAGGAAACAAATCAAACAGAAGCTGACTATCGCGATATCCAACGCTGAAGGGTTTGGCATCGAGTAACAGCCAGCAAGATGGTCCTATAGTCTTAGATTAGCGGATGTTCTTTGTATTTTACGTCACGGGACAGGATCGAGTTGTAGCCGAGTCTCTCTTCCCATTAGCTTTGCTCTGGCAAATAATGAATCTCGACGGTTTTCCCATACGACACAATGACCACTACTTCCTGTTTTGCGTAGGGTACCCCTTCACACACACGACCTGTTAAGATAATGCATCTACTGATATATGCATGGATAAAGTAGTTTTAAATATCGATAACTAGGAATTAGGGGAGTTCTTTAAGCAGAATGACCGCGACGTATTCAGGATTCCAAAATGAAGACAGTTATGCACTCGATAACACGCAGTGGACACCTAAATTGGGTTCCACGTTGACGTTAAAGCACTGTTCAGAAATGTACGCCCTCCTACATTGGGTAGATTTTCCTTTCTTATTCTCTTAGCTAGTTCAATAGCTAGCATGTCTTTGCATGTTAATCAAACATGGAACACGTCTACCAACAGTCCAGCCAGAAAAGGGCGTGTCTTTCGCAGTGCGCGGGCATCCAAAATTGTGAAGTTTTTGCAATAAAATATTTGGTTACGAATAAAATGATTAAGCACCGCGGGTTGTGAGTTCTATTTTCTCACAAGAAGGGAAGGGGGGAATAGAATATTCATATTCTTCCTTCTGAAGGCAAACAACAGCAGCAGTAATAAGATTAGCAGCGGCAATAACAGTAGCAGCAGTAACAAGATTAGCAGCAGCAGCAACAGCAGTAGTAACAATAATACTAGCAGCTGGAGGTAGAAAATACTTTAGTAGCATAACAGTAGAAATATTCCTTTGTTTTGTGCAACGGTGTAACAACACGAAACAATCAAATACAAAACAGCATAAAAATTCCATTGTTTTATTCCCTTTTTTTTCTGCAGCACTGCAAACACAAACTAGCTGTGGTTCTAATAGTTGATGGCTGTATACAAATGGCATCGTTACTATGCAGATGGRATATTTACATACACTTACAAGAGACTTGTCATCTCACTGCCTCCTATCAAAACTATTAATACACGACTGACACTGACTGACGACTAGAACACACACACACACAACAAGTGAGGAACAACACATACAAAAGAACACAATGAATGTGTCAGTGAAAACGATGACTTTCAGAACCATTTTCTGTTGAAAAAGTTCTCATTTTAGTTCATAAATACTAGAAAATCCACAATGAAGAACTTACAGGTGAAAAATAGACGACTTTGGAGGACAGATTTATAGAGAAATGGCAGCCATGACAAACCATGGCGTACAATAAATATAAAATATAGACGTTAGCATTTTGTGAAACTGTACATAGCGGCCAAAATTGCTTTAATTTTTGTACTAAACTATTTGTTGGCTGTGAAAATTGCGGCCACATAATACGCAGATATTCGGACATTAAAACTACTTTTTCAACATTAAAGGGTTCAGCAATATAATCATAGCTTGTATTTGTACTCTTGTCTAGTATTTATGTTATTATTGCTACATTTTCGTCCATTTTTCCCAAGCATTTTGGCCTATTTTAGTCCTAGCTTTTGACAGGGTTTCATTCTTTTGGCTTGTTTTTTTTTGTTTGTTTTTCCATCGCTGATTAACAGTTTTTTTAATTCATTATATCTTCACATGTTTACTACTTCTTCTGATAGAATCGACTACTACAACAGCTGGCCTTACTATCTTTATGACCAGCCGCTTACAGCTAACTAACACTAGAAAGTGATTAACAGGTGATTTGCCACCATTTTTTCATGATAATGTTAACATATAGGTGAGAAAAGATAGCCCACATTGGATACAATGGTTTTGTTGGAATTACAATATCCTAAGTGGAATACAAAATGATACCTCTATTACTGCTAGAAAGATGCAGTTAGATCAAGATGCAGATAGGTCGAGTGATCAGAGAAGTAGCAAAGAGCATTGAGAAAGAGCATCATTTGAAATCATCATCATGTGTTGAGCATCATTAACTGAGAGTCTAAGCTCAGTGTTTACTGAGCATGATAGCCAGCAGCCGGCTGCATGGCATATGATGGTGTAGGGCCACCTTGGGGAGTCAGCATTCCACTGGCTTGCATACCAATCACTTGTGGTGACTGGTTCGGAGTTTGAATGGCTGAAGAGGGGGAAGTAGACATCTGAGCTGCTGCAGAAACAAACAAACAATGTTGATTATTCTATTTGATTGTTTTGGTCCAAAACAGTTGTGGATCTTTATTCATTTGTTTCTTACCTTGGTAATTCTGTACAGGATACATCGCCATACCCTGTTGGCCACTGTACAATCATAGATAAAAATCATTAGATAAAAGATTAGTTAACAGTCAGCGACAAGTACTTATGTATCATAGGTAGCCCATATTGATAATAAATAATATCCCCAAGGGGGTGGGTTACTCAACAGACAGTACCAAGTACTTACGTAGGATAGGTGGCCCCATTGTGATAATACATTAAATCCCCAAGGGGGGGTGGGTTACTCAACAGTCAGCAACAAGTACTTATGTATCATAGGTAGCCCATATTGATAATAAATAATATCCCCAGGGGGGTGCGTTACTCAACAGACAGTACGAAGTACTTACATAGGATAGGTGGCCCCATTATGATAATACATTACATCCCCAAGGGGGGGTTACTCAACAGACAGTACCAAGTACTTACGTAGGATAAGTGGCCCCATTGTAATAATACATTACATCCCCAAGGGGGGTGGGTTACTCAACAGACAGTACCAAGTACTTACGTAGGATAGGTGGCCCCATTGTGATAATACATTGCATACTGAGGATATTGCACATAAGGCTGTTGTGGTTGCTGCTGTTGTGTGGGTTGCATCTGTTGTTGCTGTTGTTGCTGGGTTTGTTGGTAGTAGAATGGTGCATAATACTGGTGCTGGGAAATAAACATACATTTGAAAATTATTTACTTGCAGTCTTGAGTCTGCTAAAACAGCATAGATCCCTCCCTTGGTCCTATTTTTCCCCTTGACACCATCCACCATAGTATACATTCTTCTATCCCACCATAGACCCACCCTGTTCTAGTACTATGTACACCACAGACCCCTCCCTCCTATTCTACCTCCTAGTACTATGTACATGTCAAGGTTATTACCTGCCAAGCTGCAGCCTGCTGGAAGTTTACCATTTCTGGTGTCTCTTTTCCCCACGAACACTGCAAGAAAATAAAGGAATAAACAATTAACACTCACATCCAGTCAACAAGGGTTTAATGGATTCTTGTTACCTACCCTAAGCAAGTAAGGATTGTTGGGATCTCCTAATGTAGTTTGATTATGTGTTCCTACTATTCCACTGGTTGCCTCATTATGGGTGTTAAACCTAAATAGAAAAACAGACAAGTACATTAGTCAATACTTGTTATGCAAATAGAGCCTACAATAAACCTAACATTCCCTTGAGAATAATTCCTTTGTTTATTGGAAACAATTTAGAAGATTCATTCGTACAAGAAATCATTATTCTCAATGGCATAACATGTAAAAACGTTATGCCCAACTTTAGGTCTTTAAATGGTGTTGGTGCAAGATTATCGCTTATTCATAACATTAAGTTGACTTACTTTATAAATGCATATCCCTTATCAGCAAATAACTTTATCTCCACTATATTACCATACTGTGAGAACAACTGCTGTAGATCATAATCTATACAAAACAAGAAACAAATAGTAACATTGCTTGTACACTTGAGTCTATGCAATTGGACAAAAAAGAACTATGGGCCGGTACTGACTATGTATTGACTATATATGGTTATTCTCTGCCTGGAGAGTCAGATTCAGGTTTGGTGGAAAGAAATATATTATATGGAGGCTATGGGTGAGGGTTAAATAACTGTCAATTAACAAACATGTAAATAATAAATAARTGTCTTGACAAAAAAATTTTCATATTTTCCTTTGGTTTGGTGGATTGAAAAATTATATGGAGGCTTAAGGTGAGGGTTAAATAACTGTCAATAAATAAACATGTAAACACAAAAATCACTGTTGATAGATTATTTTTATCTAGGGAAATGTACCTTTAACATCTGGTGGTAGATTTCCAACATAAATTGTCGTGTTCAACTGAGATGACTTATGAAATACTTCTTCCCAATTCAGAGGTTTGCCTATAAATTTATTGTCAAACAATAATTTACAAAAAAATAACAAAATGGTTACTCTACACTAATACAATAGACTTTCAACAAATACCACAGGGTGGGTTACATCAGACCTGTTCTCATGGATGGTTACTCTACACTAATACAATAGACTTTAAATAAAAACCACAGGGTTACATCAGACCTGTTCTCAGGGATGGTTTGAATGTGAAGACGAACCTCCATCTCTTTGACATTATTTCAAAGATAAAGATGAACCCCCTATCAACAACCCCCCAGGGTTGTGTGTGTACACTTACTCTGTATAGGATGGTTTTTTCTTGATGCCCAGTTTGTCCTAATTATTTTACCCTTGATTTCTGTACCTGTCAATACAAAAGCATATTTATGTTAGTGGCCTTGTTGTATTATTGATGTACAAACTCAAGCCATAGATGGTGTAGGAGTTTATATGATGTACACAACACAAACACAATTATTCCACATGACTTATCAAATATTGAGAGAATAAGAGAAAAATATCAAATGCCCTTGGCGGGAATCGAACCCACATCTTCGGTTCCAGTCCGATGTGTTAACCACTACACCACAAGGACCAACCACGATGTTGAGGTTAGTTGTTTTGTGTTTGACTAAAATTCTCAAAATAAAGGTGAAACTGGCAGGACAATTTTGTATATGATATAAAAATTCCTCCACGGTCATGATTTCTATTGTGTTTTCCTCATGAATTATTAATGACATTGATAATATCAATCATATAACCAATATTTCTCTACTGTCATCAACAAGTTACCAGTGGTAGCTCTTACCATTCATATCAGCAATTGCCTTTGCAGCGTCCTGAAAAAAACAACAGTAGCAATTGGAAGGTGTTTTGTGGTAAGATGGGATATTCACCAGAAGTACCATAGGCAGGGCCTCCATGGGAGTAAACCTGTTGTTTGGATGCCTACAAACCCTGTCCCCTTCCTAATGGGCACGGCAGTTACTTACATCTTTTCTGACAAATGCAACAAATCCAAATCCTTTTGACTTGTTTTTATTTGCTGGGTCCTTCACGACACGCACTTCACTAAAATAAAAAACAAAAATAAGAATAAACAAAAATCAAATTACCCCTGTCCAAAACTAACAACAAAATGAATTAAAGTATAAGTTACAAAGTATCCTTGCAATAGTTATAAAAAAGTTAGGTTTTCACAATATCGGTGCATTTTTACTAATACTGGTTAAAGAGTTTCTATGAACAAGCTCACTGGTAGATTAGAAAGGGACAAAATCTATGACAAGCTTCTACACAAGTTCAAGTTACACAGTATGCTGTAATGGAGAAGGGAGGCTCTCACTGATATCAATGTCTGGATCTAGGGTTTGAATCGGAAATTAATATTAGACTACAGAGGAGGGGTTTGAATGACAAGCACTGTTACGACATGTCTCGTTATTGCAGTATTTGAGAGGGGGGAGGGAAGGGGGGAAGAGAGCCCTGTCAATCTTACCCTTTCTGTAGAACCTCATATGAGTTTCATTTTGAGGCTGATGTGCGATCTCTCATTGAGTACAATTTGGATGTGTGGGGGGAGGGGAGGGGATGATAAAAGGGTACATGCATGATTAATTTAAAAGAAAAAAGTAAAGTAAAAGAAAACAAGAAATATATCCTACTCTTCCTGCCGTGATGGACAGTATATCATAGATAGACTCATCTGTGACAAGCAAACAATGAATCCAGAATTAACTTGCTATTCAGGTACAAAACATTTCACAAATAGAAGATGGATAAAAACCGAAAAGGAATTTCCTAACCAAGAGAGCATATGAAACTAAAGACGTTTTTCAAATAAGAATTAAATAAGAAACTTAATTATTATAATTCCCAACCACTACCCAATGGTTGAGATGAGTTACTAAATAGAACCATGAATTTTTTTTCCTTTGATAAAATTCTGGATTGATAAAGAATTTGGGCATGAACAGGTTGACGTATTGTAATGTAAATACTAAGCCTTCCATATTTGAATGATTGAGTTGAGAGAAAAAAAACATTGTTTGAAAGAAGATGGGTGACAGGTTTGGTATATCTTGAAACTCCTCCACAATAACACACAAAACAATATGAATGATTAAGAGAACAACAAATCATTGCTCATGGTTCAAATATAGTAAGATGTTCTTAAAAAATGAATTTGTCCTACCCTTAGTTAGTATTAACTAAAATCTTCATAGAGCAGTTGTCTACAGATTATATCTTAATATCAGATACTAGAGTATCACTGGACAGTAATAGAGTATGAGGGTGTACCACGGAAACATCACTGGGCCCTAATCTTACCTCTCGATGATTAGTAATCTTTATAACAACAATGTTGATCAAAATTCTATAATAATTCTATATTTTCTATTTTATAATCTGTCAATCTTGTTCCTTCCTGAAGAATGCTATTGTGAGTCAAGTTGGAACAGAGATTAACAACAGGAATTTTAGAATGTATGGAATGTGATGAAAACATCAATATAGTACTATTTATTATCCATCTATTTTAGTTATTAGATTGAACTTTTCCATGTACTTACGATATGTCCCCAAAAGGTTGGAATGCCTTTCGTAAGGTAGTATCATCTATATCTTCGGCAAGATCTCCCACAAAAATGTGGTGATGGTCTGAAGAGCAAAAAATAATGTATAAAAAAACGTGTACAAGAACACAACATGTTTGTTTCACTAAAATCAGGAGGTTTCCAGCATCTATACAATTAACCTATATACAACGGGGATGGCAGACCAACCCCCTTTTTTTCTTGGGAAAAAATATTCTTTGGTAGAACTGTTAAAAACCATCATGTGCAACAAAATGTTTTGACTAGGACAAAATTTGTTTCCAGGCTGAGGCTAAATTGTCACAATGGGCTGCCTGTGGCATAATTGAGCTCACCCCCCCCCCCCCCCCCCCCCCCCCCCCTACTGTATACTGTCTGTCCTGTACAAAATGTTACTAGTACCAGGTAAATACATTATGTGATTAGAACAAATCACCTAACAAATCACCTAACATACTCTAAAACTACAAGATTAATATAGAAAAGTATGTAAAAGCAAGCTTCGTAATTCATAACAACCTTTGGATAGAGCTCCTTAAAGAATGCTAAGTTCAAAATAATACCAATAAACTTTATTAACTAGTATCAATAATTATCTGTTATTTAATCGAATATAATTAGTGTACATAGTATAAGTCATGCAATACAACTTGGAGACAATTGATTTGTTAAAGATCTTCAATTACTTCAATTTCCTTTATCTGTCTTGTGGTAAGAAAGGTCACACAAGAAAGATACAACAGTGATACAGTGATGACAATCAGTCTGAAAACAATATCACCTGCAGTAAAAGAATTTATCCCAACCTAATAAGATTTWAAAAAAATTTACATGAGAACTAATTTATGTATTATCAAAAAAGTCTTCTATTTTAAAGGCACAATTCATCACAGTCATCTCAATACTAGCGATTTTTTACATTGCAAAAAATCTGAAAACAAGATTACAGTAATTGTAATACATTGTGTATTATTTCCATTCATGCCCAAAGATCAATAACAAAATCTTGACATTAAAAATTCAATATTCCCTTCGCAACCACAGGGTTTGAATATGTCTTCAAAAGTAGAGTGAAGGCCATAAATCCAAAAACAAAGAGTTTAGTCTAATTGCACCTATATTGCTGCTATTTTGTACAAAATAGTGGACATTACTGGAACATTGGGAACAACAGGAAATACCTCTATGCATCTTTGTTTGATTGATGCCTGAGTGAATCTTAGCTATTTTACAACTAAATAGTTGATAACTAAATACTTTTAAGCACTACATGTACTTAGCTAGTTATTGTATATGTATATATGGCATACACTCTATGCTTTACTGCTTAAACCAGTACTCCCAAGAATTTTCATTTGTATTTGGTCATATTTTATAACTTTGGGCATATTTCATATTTAATTCAAAGAGAAGATTGTTAATATTCCATTAGTGGTATCCTTGGGGTGTTTGGTTTGTAGAAAACACTAAAATTACCAATGAAAAACTGGGGAAAAAATAGAAAAAAATATCTAGAGCAGCTTGTAATTTCTGGTTAATTTGATAAAATTATGATTGAACATTTGATTATAAAAACAAACAGCCTAACTGTTTCACATAAGAGATGATTAAAAATATTTTTTAAATTACTTTGTCAGAGGCCCAGTAAACTCTTTTCTATCAGAAGATAATAATAAAAAAGAAAGAAAGTAAGATTTGCTATTGCATGTCTGCATATAATTGTTTTTCTTCCTTCCAATCATTCTTTTATTTTTCTTTTCTTTCATTCTTGTTTCTTATTTAACTTGTTTTAATTTAGCAGTAATTATAAACTAATTTCCAAAAATATTTCTTAACTTCCTTTAAATGTTAACATAATCTCTCCAATCAAAAACAATAAGTCAGAATCATAACAGGAAGTTAAATGTAAAATAATGAGAAAAAACTAGCCATCTGCATGAATACAAAAGCAATAGAAGACAGTATATGATGTACAAAGGAATCTTTATTTTTATTTTATTTTTTTTGCTGATGGAAAATGAAAATAATATCCAATAGACAAATGATTGAATATTTTAACCACACACAACATTAAACACCATGGGATACTGTTTAGATTATCATCTATCATATAAATACACTCAATCTTCACTCAGCTGGGATAGTTCACCTTTGGGCAATATATTCTGAAGATATATCATTAAAACTAAGACCAGTTTCAATGTCATGGAATGCTAACAAAGCAATAAAACATTATTGGCAATCCAAGAAACAAAGAAAAAAAACTTCAATTAACTTGATAATCTTGGTTAACATGTGTGGCTACATCAAATCTGACCAAGTTCTAAATTACACATTTTGCCACACTTGCCCATAGATTAGGATCTAGGTTTTTATGTCTGAGTCTGATGTGAGGGAGAAAAAAAAAACATTTCATAAAATATGTTTTTGGGTATCAAAGTGTAGTAGGACACTTGGGCAGCAATTGAGAGTCAATTGACACTAGATGACTCTCTTGATAAACCATATCAACTTGACAATGGATATCTACTGTATGTAGCCAGAGGTAAACCCTTGGAAAATCCTATTAACCTGGATATATTTTTCTCTCATGAATCTTTAGGAGTCATACATTCTTGATTGGTGCATTTGTAGTATTTTATCAGCTTATCTCAACTTTTTATAATAATTATGTAGAACCCTTTTTCTGTCAATAAGTCTGAGGACTAAACTGTTTCTGACTCTCAACAAAAGAGGAATATGATCCTAAACATTATTTTCTACTCATTCAATTATTTTGGTGCTAAACCCATTACATTCATCAAATCTTTTGAATTTAAAAATATATTAAATTGGTTTTCTGGTAGCAGAGAAATTATGAGATCCTTTCAAATAAAGCAACATAATGAGTTGCTTYTATCTTGCAAATATGTTGAGGTTTTAAAAGGGTCTTAGGTAAAACATCTTTCTTAATAAATCAGTTTTGGTAAAGATTTTCAAGTCTGTCATTAAACTTGATAGAAAACTACAAACAGATGAAGTTCAAGRACAAAGGAATTACACAAGTGTGTCAAAGATTGTTTACATTCTGTTTCTTTGAACAAAATAGAACAAGCTAAAGGGCTGGACTTCTCAAATAAGACCTGTTCAGCAATGATACTTCTATGAAAATAATCTTCACCAAGATATGATTTTTTGTGAAGAATTTCTAGCCAGCCAAATCAGAACTTCAATATTCATAATGTTTCTTGTCTGGTCTATGATAATTTGACTTGGGAACCAGTTACTATGACAGACAATCCTTGAACAGAACTGTTCTGGACTGTGAATCAATGCTGGAACTAATTGACAGCTTAAATGTAACTAGACATTGAATCCCAACAAACTTGTTCATGATATCAGCAAGCACTTGTAACTCAATGCTGGTAGCTTACAGCTTGAGATTACACACTAGTGGGAGTTCCCCAGTCTTTAAATGAATCAGAATTATCAGAGCTAGGAGGGCAAGCAATCAAACAGAGTCACAAGAGCACAATACAACAATAATCAAGAACCTACCTGACATTTTGTCTCAATAATATACACAAAAAAACAAGATAATTTGTGTTGGAAATACTTACTATTTGTCTCTCCTCTCTTCATGCCCTGGTTGTTAGTAGCCCAATTCACTTTTATATTCTAGATGGAGTGAAAGAAGAATGGTGAAGGTCATTTATTATGTATTTTGTGACCCTTCTAGTTCAACATCAGAGCCAGATGTCTGGTTGTTTCCACTGTCCCAGCAGGTAGACAAGTAGCTAAATTATCACTCAATTCTTACTTGACTTAACTAGCCACAGCAATGAATTACCATGGAGGAGATATTGTGAGGGTACACTAGAGAACAGAGGTGATCACTCAGAACTGGTTTTGATTTGTCATGTTAGTCTTGTTCTGGTTCACTTCTCTGATCAAACTTGTTCATTATCATGAATGCCATTGTCTGATGCCATGAAATATTAATGGAATAACACACAAACCCCAGGGTTACAACCTCTCTGATTGGGAAACAGATACAAACACACCCTTTCCAACCTGTCCAAAATGATTCACCAAATTCACAGGTCTGTTAAAGCACAGTATGAATCCTGGCACAAAGCATAGCTGCACATCTTTGGGGAAAACTTAAGGGGTATCATTTAGAGAGAATTTTCTAGATCACCAAAAAGAAACTCTTGATTAACTTTAGTTCAAAAAATTTTATTCAATGCCATACTTTTGCATATGGTAGTAGAGGACTTGGAAACGTCAGCCACAAAATACAGACAGTTTTTCTATGATAATTTCTAGAAAGGATGAGTGAAGATTGATCAAGTTGCAATAACCTAGTACACCTGTTATTACATAAAACACACCTGTTTACCCAGAATGGGAGAGCTAAAGGATCAAATTCACTTATTGAGAGGTGTCAATACATACCAATAACAAAAGTTGGATAGAATGATAGGAAACCCTCTAACACCTTCAATGTCGTAACAACTAATTAAACAGACACTCCATTGATCAAGTGAAGAAATAATTCCCATTATAAACAAACAAACTCCAGTCCCTTACATATACAAGTGCCTTTAGATATGTGATGATGTTGGCATAGCACCTGGATACTCACACATACATACTTGATACAGTATATACCATATACAGTATAGACTAGAGTATATATATATCGGGCTGACACCTATATAATTGGAACAATTAACTAAGCTATCCAAATACAACAAGAAATCTACTAGTATAAGCAAGCAGGTACAGAAAACTACCAGTAATTCCATAACTTGTGTTTAATATTGTTTGTAATCCTCTTCTTCTATCATACTTCTGGTTTATTTTGAGGTTTGAAGTTTGTACCATATGACAATGACTAAATATAGCCAGCAAAAAAAATTATAATTGTATTAGCTATAATTCCTTGGTGTTAAAAATACCATTAATCAATTTGGAATCAGTGCGGGAAAAAACTTAATCACAGCATGGAAGAATAGCTCAGTGATTTGGTAGGAGTTGGTAATAAATTTTAAATTATAATTATTCATAAATCACATAAAATTAAAAACCATGAGAGAATCCCAATCAAATGATAAGATTTTTTGGCACATTTAATGCTTTCTAGTGGAATGCAGCATGATTCAAAGGATGAAAATAGTTGTATAGGCTTTGTGTGTGTGTTTCTTTGATACAGTGTTGCCTATATTTGCATAACCATGTCAGAAATGACAAAGAATCTATTCATAGGCTAAAATAAATAAGAAACAGGTATTCTTTAAAGCAAATTATTCAAAATTCTTAAAATATATCAAATATTTCACCTGTCAGGACCCTACAATGTATAAGAGTCAAGGAAACAAAGAAACTTATCAAATCTGTCAAAATTACCCTTTTTTACTGGAAAATACAAATTAAAACAAACAAAAAAAACTGACAAAATTGTGAACATTTTAAAGAAAAAAAATTTTCCATAGATTTTTGAAAATACCTTTTTCCATTAGAAAAAAAACTTTTTTTAAAAAATAACCATTTTTAAAGTCAAATAGCATTGAAAGCTTCAACTTGAACAAAACAAATAAGCTTTTTAGACATCAAAGTAAAGATTTGGGGTTCTCAAACTTAAAATTGTGGTAAATGAACATACCACAATAATAGTTTCAAATCAAAAAAAATTAATATTCTTAAACAATATTATAAATATTCAAAAAAAGGTAGAAACAGGGAGTGAACATAAAAAATGTATCAAGACTTGAGTAAGGTTTTGTAAGTATTGGTTGAGCTAGTTTTTTTTCACCAATATCTTTTCAAGCAGAATTTAAAAACTTGTTTCAACCTGATTCTGACCTCTGATCTTGTGGTGTGACCATACATTGGATTAATTGCATATATTTGAATATTGTACGTCAAATACTGTCAAGCATAGTTGGCGCTCAAGCTATTCAAGTGCTGTAACTCTTTATAAAAATAGGAAACTAATTTTAAAACCCCTTTTGCTTTCAATTGGCTGATATATATTTGCATTACAAGTTTTAATTCATTTTATGAGATTTATTTTCGCTGTTATTACATTACTCTTCATTTTAATTATTCTTCTTGTGTTCTGTGTCAGTGTTGTCTGGTTGCAACACCAAGAAATACCAACAGTCAAACTCAGCACCTACTATAACTATACTAATGTGCCATAAGGCAGTAGCTGGACTGCAATGTTACATGTAGATGGTACAATTATCAGTAAAAAAGTACTTCAAAAATGAAAAATCATTCTATTAAAATGAATATAGCAAATGACAACTACAATTTAGAATGCTAATATATTGGCAAAAGAAAAAATGTTTTAGCAAGAAAGAAATTAACTGTAACTATTGCCATGAACATCAAAATTGGAAATGAACTTTTTCATCTTAAATCACATGTAGCAAAATCTAGATGAAAAGATTTAAATAAAAAGAAATCTAATCAGATCTGGTCCTCAGATCTACCACTTTATGGTGGATGGAAAGCCTAAAATGTTTTTAAGCCCACTTGATACAGCTACTGATAGATCAAATTAAAATTTCACAGTTGATCTTTGTGAAGGGAGGACAAACCAGAGAATCCAGATAAAAAGCCTCCAAGTACAGGAGAGAACCAACAAACAACCCTACTTACATATTACGCACGAGAGAACCAACAAACAACCCTACTTACATATTACACATGAGAGAACCAACAAACAACCCTACTGACATATTACACACGAGAGAACCAACAAACAACCCTACTCACATATTACACACGAGAGAACCAACAAACAACCCTACTCACAAATTACACATGAGAGAACCAACAAACAACCCTACTCACATATTACACATGAGAGAACCATCAAACAACTCATATGACACAGAGCCTGATGGGACTCAAACCATGGTTTTGTGTTGGTGAGAGGTGAGTGGCCATCAAGTTCAAGTAGTTTAGTTAATCCCAAGATATTTGGTGCTTTTTACCATTACTCATGTTCCCTTTAGTGAAGTCTGGGTAAGGGCTGGAGAGCTCTCATAAAGTGGAAGTACTTAGTATAATCCCATAACATTTTGTGATCTTACAACTCATGTCTTATTCATCTCAGTATTATTTTCTTGGGAGAAGGAAGGAATGGAGCGGGCAGTTTGTAAAGTACCATTATTAAGTTTGGAGAGGAAGAGAGAGGTACAGTGCTCTTTCAAAGAAAAACAGTTAAGTCTTACTACAACCCACAAACACTTATTTCAAGGTTTAGAAGAAAAACAGTTAACATATTCTTACCTTTCCCATTATAAATCGTCTATCCATTTGATATAAAGCTTTTGCTGCATCAGAATTAGTATGGAATTCTACAAAACAATAAGGGTCTTTCCCAGTTGTCTGGAAAGAAAGAAAAACAAGATTAATTAGAAATGTCTTGTCACATCTGAATACAATAAATTTCTAGGATTATTGCATCTTAAAATGTTACATTAAGAAACAGTATGTGCAACATTTTGGTGAGAAATGTTAAAACCATTAAAAGTTAGTAAAACAAAAGGTATGTAATCTAATCCATACTAATCTGCCCTCGGCACTTGTACATTTCTATAAATCATTGGATTAAATATAAACACACTTATTACAATATTGATTACTGTTTGAGGTAGAATCAATAAATTTTCAACTTGTTTACAACAACCTCATATTACATAACCCATTCTTTCATCTAACTGCACTGTTTATATCATTTACGGCAATTAACTATATCAGAGCACAAGATAAACAGTTCTACGTAGAACTATTTAAAGAAGGTGGCAAATTCACAAGTCAAATCAAATTCGCTGTCAACAATTCCAATCCATTATTTAGTATTTTTGCTTGTAAGTGTCTTGATAAATAAGTGGCAAATTAGAGTTAACAAAATTTCAATTGATCTGAATTACCTTCTAAGCAAAGGATGTTCCGATTTTTTTAATTTTTATTTAAACATATTAACTCTCTGAGTTCTCTCCAAGAGCTAGGCTCATCGTGGGAGATTACACAGTTAACAATAATTACAAGGTTTCTGGAGTTTAAGGAAAAAGGAAAAAAAAGTTTAACATATTAACAAAAAAAACACATATATATAGAAAAGTACAATTGAGATTACATCGTGGGAAATTACATGTAATGATTAGAAAGGAAAAAAAAGCATATATATATAGAAAAAGTACAACGGAAAAGAAAATATATATGTTCCGATTTGGGGGGAAATAAAATGTAGGTAGAATATTAAATGCTTAAATGCAATAATATGATTATTGTACAAAGACATAAGCCACAAGAAGTAAAAACTATGAAGAGTGGTTATTGGAGTATGGAAAAACTCCAACACAAACAAATTTGCATAATGTTTGACCACATGTAGGCAAGATTATTTATAAGAAAAGCCAATTTAAGACCAACATAGGTTTATATTGGTTGAAAGCTGATAAAGAGTTAAATAATAGCTTGTTTTAAGATAAACATCTTTTAAAGGACTTTCACAACACAGCATACAGTAATTAATAACACTGGTAGTTACTGGATTATGCTGTGTAGCACTGAGTTTTGTTCAAAGATACCAAATATCAAGAAATACCATGAGAGAGTCCATTATTTTAATAAAGTATTCTACCAATAAAGAAGAAATGATTTGAAATGTTAGCAGAGTCATATGATACAGTGACTGTGATAAAGATATGGATTGAAAACAAGCCCTTAGGTGAGAACATCAACTTCATCTTTGGTACAGTTTTAACATCCACTATTTAGAAAATACTGAAACACTTTTTTTATAAAACTACAGAACAAAGGCACCTTAAAAAGCGTAAATTACAACCAATAGGTTAAATGACAATAAAAACATTTACGTTCTGAACTTCAAACTGTTTCTAAAGGGAAGATGAAATTAACAGAAATCAAAGAAACACATTCGAATAACTTACTAAACAAAAGATTTTCGGACGAGTTGGTTTGGTATTCTGGAAAAATAACCAAGTAGTCTCTTGTACAACTAAAAGTTTAAAATTAGAATTCGATATCTGAATCAAGAGAATGAAGTTGAAGAGAAAGACAGATGGCAAACAAACATTTTCTGACTTGTAAGTCTATAACAAAGATAGCCTCAGTTCGTTTGGCAACAAATCCAAAATGTTTCAGTTTTGAAAGCTGAAATGTCGGTAAGAATAGAATATTCCGTGAGCACTCTGAAAGTCTCCAACAGAGCATTAGGTCAGACAATGAAAAGCGAAGAAAGAAGGGAGTCACTCGTTTAAGGAAAGAAAACCACGCAAAATAGAAAGAAACAGCACTTACAATTTGTGTTCATCCCACGGTATCGATCAATGAAGAAGATCACAAAGCAGTAACGACTAAACGACTAACCTTATGACCGAGAAAGCCTTGGAGAATTGAAATAACTAATCATGTGAGGCCAAGGATAATAATATTTGGTTTGATTGGTAGACCCAGGAGCCGGGCGTTAGATAAACATAACCATAGTGCACGGTCAAGCAAGTACTAATGAATACACATAAGCCATACATATATCGTATACATACATATATATGTTCTATTGATTTTATTATTGACTCTTTCTATTTCACTTGGTAATTCTTCCATAATGTTTATCAGCTTTTTTTAAGTATCATAATACAACAGTCAAGACAGATCAAAATAGGATAAATTATAAGGTGCGGGTTGTTGGTAAATTAACTGGCGGCCTTTATCTTTTTACTAAAACTGAATGAGCTTCAAATCTATTACATCATCAAGTATAATTTTTAATTTCAACGTGGCTGCCACTAAAATAAGCGTCTCAGACAATCGTAGGTGGTTAGAAGTTGCTGTAGAGACAATCATCTATCGGTATTCCCAAACAATTTTGTGATCATCACCCAGTGTTCACAGTGAACCGGCGTTTGGTTCGTTGACGCACTAAGACAGCTCAAACATAAATAATTTTGGGGCTAATACATACCGAGTTGATCATCTTACATCTTGAGACTGAAGCTACGCCGTTAAATATAGAGTGGATAAGTTCTTCTGTGCATGAAGGATCCAAGTTGCCAACGTAGCTAAAGAAAGAAAAGCATCCAAAGTGTGCGTAAGATGGCTGAATCTCAACGTACACACACTCAACTTCCTGTAGTATTTACACCGATTTACTCTTCATTGTTCTACTTACAGGCTTCTGTTTTCCTCCTCCCCATTAGCCTAGAACGGAACGGAGATACAACAGTTGATCTAGATGTTTGGAAAGTCAAAAAAATCCTGTCAAAAACTTACCTCCATGGCGAAAAAATTTCCCAGATAACACGCGAAGAAGAAAAGAAAAGCTTTAGGCTTCAACTGCACATGCGCAATCGTTTCAGCTACGTCACGTTCTTGACCGCTGACCGGGTTTTCACGTGCTCAGTCAATTGGTTTTCCTTTGTACGTGACATGATCACACACGTTCCAATATTTACAAGAACGAAAGGTCGTAAAAAAAACAGTCTAGATCTTTCGTTATTCTTAGAAAACGTGTGTTCGCGTTTAGCTTAAGACGCCACAAAGCTAAAGCGAGTTAAGTGCTAAAAAGAGATTTAGTAATTGGCGGTAATATATTTAAAATATTTGCGGGCATATTGTCTGCATTTTTTTCGCGATTAGAATCAAAACACAAATAAGAAGTATGATAAGAATTAATCATCTGTTTATTAATCAACCTGTTCTGGATATTTAGTTAAATTGCTACAATAAAGAATATCACGAAAACTTTTCTAGCAGTCGAATATAATATAAAACCTCTTTACAAGCATTGATTTTGTTAAAAAGTATTTACAGATCCTGTAGACATGAAGTGTTTTCTCATTCGCATACAAAATAAACCAACAATTGAAAACTGTCATTCATACAAGTTGTTTGAAGTAGGTTATACAAACCTGCAGGACTTGGAATATCATTCTGGATAGGATGACTTGTTCAATGCACTCTCTGCACTATATGTACCTTTATGATTCATAAAGGTGTATATGTTTGTGGTTGAGGGTAAAAAGTTGTAGTAGTGTTCACAAGTCAATGTATAAGAAGTTGTTTATCAGTATCAGCAGGAAAGGTTAATCTTCACACCCATGAAATAGGTACATAGTTAATAGATAGGTAACTACATAAAGAAGCTGACTTTTTCCAATGAAAAAACAAGTGATTGGGTCGACCCGAAACTCTCTAGCAAGATCAGTATATGAAGACTACAAAGACTACTAATCTACACAGATATTGAAAGCTTGCTTCACACATACTTTCAATAAATTAGTTGTTTGTTGAATAGACATTGAAACCACAATATTTTTAAATATATACACAGCAATATCCCAATAGCCTAACTGGTTTTTATAGCATTAATAAACATAACAAACCCACATATTTGTAGTTCTTATTATTTTTACATCCATCAATTAGAGATGTTTTTAAAATGTAGAGCAGACCAAAATATAAATATTATTCAGTATTCATACTATAAATATATTGAAGAGAGTTTTAATAGTGTAGTTCTTTTGCTAACTCCTTGGCAATGGTGTTAAGCTGAATATTTGTTGTTCCTTCATAAATTGTGCCTGAAAAAAAGGTATATTTATAAATGATGGATACGTGATAATGAGGAAGATAGTGGTAATAATATTGTTACAATAATAATGATAATATTGGTATTGATAATGATGCTAATGTCAGAAAGTGCAAATGTCCAAGGCAAAAAGTCAAACCCAGGGGAGGATGCAACCAAAAATATAGGGGGCCCAGACCCAATTTTGTGAATGGAAACTTGGAAAAAATATCTAAAAATATGCTTTCTATTCCACTTCAAGAAACATAACCAACGTTCTGAAAGGGGGGTGACAGCCCCCCTTTGCCCCTCCCTGGATCTGCCCCTGAAAACTCATATATGTGATGATGAGACTTTCAAGTCTGTATGGGTATATATCTTGACAGTTACAATACTGGTGCCTGCATTCCATCTGGTATTTGAAGGTATCCTTGTTAATAAGCTCATCAAGTGAGCCAGAAATATCTGTTTCAGTCATTGAGCCTTTAAGAGCACGTCTGGCTCAAATAGTGACCCTTGACTTACTGTAATAAGATTACTGGTAATCAATGAAGATATTTAGTTATACCTATTTTACAATCCCTGTAAAACTTCTCCATGGGATAGTTTGTAGAGAATCCAACTCCACCCATCCACTCAATACATTTAGATGTCGTCAATGTTGCAACCTTAAAAAAATAACACCTAAAAATTTTAGCAAAAATTGATAATTTTACATTAATTATTTATTAGTATTATCCAAGGATGTAGAGGAGATGACTGTTGAAATCTTGAGAATTTAAATTTATGTTTTGTTAACTAGCTATAGAGGAATGGAAAGTGTTTGTAATGTTGTTATATTTGCATATCAATGGTAAAAAATGTATTAAAAGTATTGTTAACTCTGTTTCACTATTTTATCTGTATGGCTTTTTTACCTTCAAAATATTAGGAGATAAATCAAGACTTTAATATAATATTAACTAATACTAAATAAATTTCATTTTATAAACTTTATAAAATAAAAATACTAATGCACATATTTCAGGCGTATATATGCTCACATGTGTGCATAATCTTATTATATGTATTTATTGACAACAGTACCTCGCTAGCATAATATTTAGCCATGGCTGCCTCTTTTACAAATGGTTGTCCTGCTTCTTTTCTGCGAGCTGCATTATACACCAGCAACCTTGCTGCTTCAATTTGGGTGTGAACTTGAGCAATTTGATGTTGCATTCCCTAGGGGGGGAAATATTACATTTAATACATCCAAAGTTACAATGCTATAACCAACATAAGAAAACTAGCAAGTAAATTAGTTTGAGCTGTACTGGTGCATTTGACATGACTTCAATAGTGTTACTGTATAATGCTCATTTCCAGTCAAGGCTAATAAACATGACAAAAGTGAAACTCTGAGTCTTGACTGTAGTAATTTAGACAGCAAGAGATAGGCAAATCTAAGGACAGGACAGGACAGCAAAGATGTAAAAAAATTGAGTATCCAAACATCGTACTGTAAGTTGAAGTCATTTGATGATGAGCTGAATAATGTGATCAATAATCATGAGTAAAAAAGAATGTAACAAACTTCTTACATCAATATAGACCAGTGTACRATGAACTAGTTCTGTTTCCACAGTCAAGTTATAAAAGACTTCAGACTTACCTGAAAATCCCATATTTTTTGGCCAAATTGTTTTCTCTCATGAGTGTATGGAATAGTTGCATCAAAACATCCCTGCGCCAAGCCAACCATCTACAAACAAACCCACAGAATGAATACCATGTAATACTGTATTCCATTTGTATTGGAAGAAAATAGCACCAAGTGTTGTTGTAAGTTAGCAAGTGTGTACGCACTGCTAGCAAAGCAAGAGTCCATACAATAGTTCAATGCTCAGTGACCACATATACGTTTTTCAACATTTCTGTAATCTATGTCAAGCATTGAACCTTAGCATGATTAGCATGGATTCTTGTTCCAATTATATTACCTGAGCACCTATGCCAATTCTTCCCTCATTCAGCATGCCTATAGCATACTTATATCCAAAGCCTTCTTTTCCCAATACATTGCTAACAGGAACCTGTAATTAACAAATGTATGCAGGTAAAGTTCTATTCAATGACTGCAGTTTTCAATATTCTGCAAACCCAGAAATATCAAAGGCTCGTTGTGAAATTGTTTTTTTGCTGCTGCCAGTCAAGAACATAAAAGGTATCAAAGGCTTATTTTTGATTGATAGCTGCAAAATAACRAATTTTAGCATGCAGCTTGCAACTACCAAGTTTGCAGAATAGCAAAAACCACAGTAAGACTTGAACAGACACAAGGATTTATTGACCTAGTTTTGGTAACATACATTTCTTAAAACTGTAGAGGGCAATCAAACTCCTTGGACTTATCCTGCAAGGGACAGAATCCTTTCTGGGGGGAGGGGTAGTGTATTTAAATAAAGATAGATTGTAAAATACAGAATACATAAGCATTATTTTATACTCAATATGATTGGCATGACTATACTACACCTTGTATGGTCATCATTCTTACCTTGACATCATCAAAATGGACTGGACAAGTTGACGAAGCTCTGATCCCAAGCTAGAAAAATAAAAGAATGAAAATGAATATAACAAACTAGTGAACAATAAAATAAAATGAAATATGTTTTATAATATATAACAGTTGTGTAAACATTTATAGCAAAAGAGGTTTCAAATTTAACAGTGGATTGCAATTATTATATTTATTCAAGAAATCATATGATTTTGTATAAGTTGGACTTGAACTCTTATTTATTCTCTAACTTGGTAAATGCATTGAGCAGTGGTAAATGTGCGATAAGAATGTGACATTGTTATTGTTATTATTATTATTATTATCATCATCATCATTAATTTAACAATGGCAAATATCCTGAAGGCTGTTGGAATAAATTAGATGATAGAATCGACTTACTTTATCTTCTTTCTTGTCAATGGTAAGTCCTTCTGTTTCCCGTGGTACAATAAAAGTGGTAATTCCTTTGTGTTTCTAAAATGCGAAATGCAGCAATTAATATTGATCAGAAGCTTACTGGGATAAGATATTATATTCTTGTTAATAAAAGCCCAATATAAACACATCTATTTAAGTAAGAGTGTACTACAAACAACTGATACTACTCAACCTTGTGCAGAATATCAATGGTTATAGGGTGTGTGTTTGATAATGGTAAGAAAAGTTTAAGTCACCTTTGATTTGTCTGCATTAGCCATGACCAAAAAGACTCCAGCGTGCTCGGCATTAGTGATCCACATTTTGGAACCATTAATAACATAGTAATCACCCATCTTCTTAGCCTCACATTCCATGGCAAAAGCATCACTACCTGATGTGACTTCTGATAGGCAAAAACTACCAATCTAAATGCAAACATCAGCATTGGTTACGATACTCTTATTCATTATACAGGGAGCAGATTCATCCTGCCTTTGTCCAAGCTAAATAGGTGGTTATAATAGGAGGATACAATGATATGTTAATGTGAAACTTCTAGAATTCATATCACTTTGAAAGATAGTACAGGAATGATCATCATGATTGGACAAGCAATTGGGTACAATGGGTATCATCACTTATATACATTACAATGATGGTTTTGGATGCTAAGTATCTGTTCTAAAGGGGGGGAATTCCAACCTGCCCTGTCATATCATCACATACCGTGTCTGTTGCAAGCCTTGGTAGATACTCCTCTTTCTGTGCTTCTGTGCCATATTTTACAAACAGCGAATTAATCAGAGTATTATGAACATCGCACATGACGCTGACTGAAGGATCCACTTTGGCTAATTCTTCTATCACCAGATTAGCTACGAAAAATGATGAATGAGATCCTCCATATTCTGCACCTATCTCTATACCCATGAACTATAAATAACACAAATTAAATGGTCAGTAAAAACTGCACTAACCCTTCCATGCCATATACTACGCTATACCATATCTTCCCCCTTGATGGAAAAGTCCCTTGATCACAAATGTCCCCCCCTCAGATCATATACTATGCTATACCATATCTTACCCCTTGATGGAACAGTCCCTTGATCACAGATGTCCCCCCCCCTCATATCATATACTACACTATACCATATCTTACCCCTTGATGCGATGGAACAGTCCCTTGATCACAAATGTCCCCCCCCCTATATCATATACTATGCTATACCATATCTTACCCCTTGATGGAACAGTCCCTTGATCACAGATGTCCCCCCCCCTCATATCATATACTACACTATTCCATATCTTACCCCTTGATGCGATGGAACAGTCCCTTGATCACAAATGTCCCCCCCCCTATATCATATACTATGCTATACCATATCTTACCCCTT